GCCCTGGGCCCACCTGGCCACGGAGGGCGGCCGGGTGGTCTCCAGCGTGGACAGCCCGGCGGACCTCGCTGCCCGCCGCGGGCGGGGAGGCCGAGGCCCGGGGGCGCAACCCTAACTTTCCCCCAAGTCCCCGGGCGCCAGCCGCGGCGTAGGCCGGGTCCGCGACGGCCTCGTGAGGCCCATCCTACCCCGCCGCGCCTGCCCAGTCCTTGGGGTCGCCCTCTGCCTGAGGACGGCCCACCCACCTGGACGAGTTCCCAGCCCGCAGCACTGCCGAGGCCCGCGGCCGCCGAGCCCTAGCCCAAGGCCAGAAGCCCGCAGCTCCCAGCGCGCGACCCACTGACACCGAGGCGGAAGTGCGACCCGCCGCCTCGCCGACCGACAGCGCGTGCAGCCACTCGTAGCGCCTGGCGTTGCTGCGTCCTCCACCTCTCACCCAATCAGCGCTAGGCCCGAAGCCCCCCTCCCCGGGGGGGCGGGACTATGCGGCTCACGTCGCCCGGGTGACCTCTCCCTCCGCCCCCCAGGAATCCCGCCTACATGAAGGAATGACTGCACGCCTAACCAATCATTGAGGGGGAGAGGTGGGGCTATGCGGATACTGACCGGGGAGGGGCGGGCGAGAAGGCGTGAAGGGCGTGGCCGAGGAGAGGAGAGTTTACAAACAGTGAGTCAGGTGGTCCCGGACGTCGGCGCTCTGTGGCCGGCGCGCTAGGAGGCTCGCCTCTTCGCTGCCTGACCTCCGGCTTGTGCGTGGGGCGGGGGTTTGTCCTCCAGATACTGGGAACCCGGCAAATATCGAATATCGCCCCTGCCCCGCCTTTGCGTGCCACTCGGCGCTTACCAAAACCCTGCGTCAATATAGCCCACCGGGGTCAGCCCTGACGCTCGCATTTAAAACCTTTCAGGCTCCACTGCCCTGCTGTGGCCCCTTTCGTACCCAGAAGCCTGGGTGGCACACCTGGAGCTTGTATCCCTGCCCGCTGTCAGGCCTCGGACAAGTTATATGACCTCTGTAGACCTGTGGGCGCCCAGTTTCGTTTGCGAAAGAGGGTTCCCCTACCCTCATGCCGTTTGAACTGGGGGTCTGGTTTGCCATGAATGGAGTGAATGAACCAGGCGGCTACTCAGACTCCCAGCCACTCGTCCGGGAGAGCGCGTGCCCCTGTCCGCACCTAGAAGCTGAGCTCTGAGCTCCGTTGCAGCCTCAGAGAACAGGCCAGAGGAGGACGAAGTCAGATGACTCTCATTTGCCTACCGACCACTACAGGACCCCAGGAAGCCTGGGGCTGCTGCTAAGGGTCTTGCCACCCGAGGAGCGAGACACAAAGCAATGAAGCCAACGGTTAGAAGGAACAAGAGCAAATATCACTGGGCCACCTGGAACCAGCTGCGCCTGAAGCTGCGAGATCTATCCTACATTTTCTAGTGGTCTGAATAACAACGTTTTCTCTTCTGCTCAAGCCAATTTAAGGTGGAGTCAAAGGGTATAGGTCCCTTGAAACCACAGGAACACTGCTTGGTGACCCCTGAGCCCACAGCGCATTCCTGTCCCGAGCATGCCTCTCCTGCAGAACAAGCCTAGGGCCAGCCCTCCCTCCTGAGAAGGTGTCTCTCCGCCTCCCGAAGCATGTGTGCGTGTGTGTGTGTGTGTGTGTGTGTGTGTGTGTACACGCAGGTTTCCCCTAGCAGGACCAAGGGTGACTTGAGGGCAAGGGCCAACTTAGCTACTTCTGTGAGCCCCTAGGCAGACACTCTGCCCTCATAAATATTGGGGTTCTATTGAGTGAATGGAGCCTCTGTGATGGGGCTGTCACAGCGCTTCTCCAGCTTCTCCAGCTCCCCTGTCCCAGGGGCTGCCCTAGCTCACTTGCTGGCCTGCTGTCCACTGGGCTGTGAGACCGGGCAGGACTGGGAAGGAGCCCCGTGTGCTGCTCTAGAAGAGAGCGGAGATGGGAGGGAGGAGGCTGGCCTCTGAAACAAAGGCGTTACCATGGTTACCTCTGAAGAGAGCGGCTGTGCCAGCAGAGGGAAGGGTGCGGCGTACAGCCCCCAAGCCAGGACAAGGACGACAGGGTGGTTGCTACGGAGATGACCAGGCTGACCAGATGTAACCGCTTCCCTGGAGCCCTGGCCTAGGACCAGCTCGCGGTCCTAGATACCCACCACCCTCCACTCCCACCACCGTAGTTCTCTAGGACTCTGACCGCTGTGTTGTGCTCCAGAGGTCAGGGGCACAGGCAGAGTGACCTTTCCATCTGCTCAGAGACCACCCAAGTTGCGTGTGGTCATCTCCACCTGGGGGGCCTCCAGTCGCACACGGGCCCTGGGTTAGGACAGGGTTTTACCCCTTCAAACGGACGCCACAGCTGAACTCCAGGAACCAGCTGCTGCCTCCGCCTGCCTGGGTCCCTGCTGTCGGGGTTGGTGATGGGGGCGCCCTAGGAGCACTTGGGGCACCTTTCATGGTCTTTGCAAGGTCGAGAGCCAAATTACAGAGTCAGAATTGTTCAGGAAAGGGCAAGAAGAAAGGGGTGGCTTGGGGCCACGGCAGGATGAGGATGAGGATGAGGATGGAGGCGATTCTGACAATGACTGCTGAGTGCACTAAGACTCGCATGCCTCAGCCCATCTCCCCTCTGCAACAGCCACGCTGCAGCCCACCATCACCCCACTTTACAGAGGGGCAGACTGAGGCTCAGACAGGTTACCTGGGCTGGGCAGTGAGAAAGAGGCACAGCCCTGCCGAGACCAGCCAAGGCCCTGCCTGGAACAAGAGCCCCAAACATTCCTGCCTGGCTGTGACTGCCGATCCCCAGCAGCTGTGGCTGTGGGTGCTGTTTGAACGGGGGGTCTGGGACGCGCTGCTTTGGTGGGTCATTCTGGGGTACCTGCTGTTCTAATGGACTGTGCTTGGGTGGATGCTCCCACCCGAGCCCAAGCCAACCCCAAGAGCAGCCCCACAGCAAGGTCTGTCTGTGATGCTCCCACCTCCCGTCCCTGCTTCTGAATTTGGGGGTGAACATGGATGGACTTCTGGATCTCGAGAGGACCCTGGAAGCCAAACCAGGCCTGAGCACTCAGGATGGAAGGCGAGGGCTCCCTGACTGACTTTCTAGGAGCCCCCCCAACCATTGTCTTAGCCCGGGAGGGGAAACCAGCCCCTCCCAGTGGAGCCAGGTCCCCAGTCAGTGGAGCTCACGACCCACAGCCTGCTCTTGGTCACCAGCTTCCCTGTGGTAGCCAGGGCCACCTGGGAACATACGCCTGGACCATAGAGCCTGCTACCCTCGCCCCTGAAGGAAGCAGAGCAAATGGGGAAACTGAGGATCAAAGGGCAGAAGCAGCTTGCCCAGGGCCCAGCAGCCTAGCAGGGCAGCAGTGCCAGCCTTGCCCACTGCCCGCTGCCCTTCAGCCTGCTGCACTTACCTGACTGTGGGCTTCTGGGCCTGGGTTTATCTCTTCATCTGGGTCCACGCCCAGCACAGCCCCGTCAGACCGGCCAGGGCCTGGCGTCCAAGCACACTGGTGCCTCCACGCCATGGCCCCACCCGGCTGGCCGCTGGAAGGCCCGGCCTGAGGTTCTGTCTGCCCACCACTTGCAAGCCTGCATGCAGAGGCTTCCGCACCCAGGCCCTCCTGGGGCACACACGGAGCCGTCTACATGGGTGCAGCCGGAGCAGCCCGGCCACGGAGGCCTGGCCCTGTCTCACGTGGCTCAGGCCGATCCCTCCCCCCAACTTTCAAGTCTCCCTGCAATGTGACAGCACTCGGCTTCCCTGTCGTCGGGAGGAGGGTATTTTTAGGTTTGAACCCGCCTCATGAACAGACAAGTTATCAATAGCAGCAGCAAAGGGCTTTTTCTTGTTCTTGTTCTTTTTATTTTTTCCCATGTCTTTGGGACCTGAACAGTCTGCACCCATTAAATCCTGCCAAAAGATAGAAAGGGAAAAGGTATTCCTCTTATAAACTTTTTACCCCGCAGCATCCTCCCTGCGGGGGCTTTGCCAGGCAGCTCGGATCTGACCCCATCTGACTCACAGCCCCCACCCTGCTGCCTGCCTCTGTCCGGGGTATCGGCTTCCTCTGCCCAGGGCAGTGATGCTGTCCCAGCAGAGGGTGAGGCTGGGCTCAGGAACTTGTAGGGTGGAAACGGTGGGAGGCCCTGACTTCCACCATGCAGCCCTCACTTCCGAGCTCCGCGGTAGCAGCCCAGCATTTATTGAACACATACTGTGTTCCCAGGACTGGGCTGAGAACCTTGGATTGCACCGTCTCAGCCACATCCTTGTCACCCACAAAGAGTGGTGGGCAAGAGCACTGAGAAGTCTGGGGCCTGCAGCCTCGGGCACTCGGAAGCTGTCATCCGGTGTTTCTGGAGGACAGGCCTCGCCAGTCAAGCAGAGCTGGGAAGATTGCCTAAGCAGAGCCAGCAGACATCCACGCCCCACTTCCTGGAGCACCAGGACACTGTGGGGGGAGCAGTGCAGACCCTGACATGTCTGAACCCAGAAGTTTTCTCTGTGGAGTTTCTTGCAGGACACTGAGTGGCCTCCTACCTTGCTCGGGGGACATTTTAGCCAACTTGGCTGCTTGCCCTTCAAGATTAGAGCTCAACGTCTGAGAAAGCCGAGAATAACAGACTCCAGCAAAATTAAAATGTGCTTCTGTCTCATGTGATACAGCCCACACTGTCCAGGCTGGCAGTATCATCGGAAACCTAGACCCTATCCTACTACGTCATTTCTTCCACACTCACTGCCACCTCATGGCCCAAAATAGCTGCCCGTGCTGTAGCCATCATACATAAATCTGACCAGAAAGTAGGAAGTCATACAGTGAGGGCAGAAGTGCTATTCCCTCAGACAAGTCAGCTTTCTTTGAAGATCTATCCCTGAGGGAACACCGAGTACTTCTGCTCACATCTCACCGGACAGAACTTCATCCTAGGCCACTTTTGGCAGGACAGCAGCATTTTAGCTAAGTATATCACTATCTAAGGGGCTTAGGGGATTATGGGTGGCCCTTTGTCAGAGAGCCCTTCCTGTTTACCTTACTCACAGGTGACCCCTGCTACCGCTAGACCTAGCGACCAGGCCTGGCCGCAGCCCAGTGTCTCCCTAGAGCTGGGAGCATGGACACCCTGGATCGTGTGCACCCCGCATTAGTCAGAGGCGGACTCACGATGCTGCCTCAGAAGAGAGGGCAGCGCTGGGCATGAGGCTGATGCTCAGCTCACAGTCCCGGCACACTCGCCAGACATGACCTGTCCCGGCCTCTGTCTGTGCCCAGCGAGCCGTGGTTGCCCTCTCCGTGGCTGTCACCTGGCTGATGGAAGTAGCTGCTGCTCCCTCTCCCGCTCCTGCTGTGCACTGTGGCTGGCCCCGCCCTGGGCTCTAGGCACCACCCTAGGAGAGCGTGGCCCCTGCGGGACCACTGGGCAGGTTCCGTTGCCCTCTCTCCGCACTCCCTAGGGACCCACGTGGGGCGGGAAGGGTGTGTGCACATCCGTGTGCGGGGGCCTGGCAGGCTGGCGGGAGCCGGAGGAGAGACAGCTGGGCTGGGTTGAATTTAGCTCGCTGGAGCCAAGTGCGTTGGCCGGAGCCGCTGGCTGGGCCTCGGTGCCAGGGAAGCCGCCACACTGGGGTGGGAGGGGCGGCGTTTAAACACGCCTGGGGAGCCAAGGCAGGGAGCAGGAACGGCTCCAGGCTCTTTCCCCGGAGCAGTCCAGGCAGGTGGACTTCTGTTCATGGCCTGCATGTACGTGCCATCCGGTGGAGCTGGGGGCGTGGTAAGACACAGCCAGGCATTTGAGGTCCTTCTGGGGACAGGTATGCTCCCCATCACTTCCTGGGAGAGGAACTCAGGTGTGGAGGAGGCCACAGGCAGGGCCCAGTGTGCTCCCGCTTGGGTCACAGCATGGGGCAGCCCCACCCCCACCCCGCGGCTCAGCGTGGAGAGGAGAGGTCGCCCCTTGGGCAGCAGAACGTGGCAGCTTGGAGCCTCGTGTTGAGCGGTCATACAACCTGCGTCATCAGTGGGGCCCAAGCTCAGCTCCCTGCGTCTGGAAGTTCTTAAGCATCTCAGGCCCAGGGACCCATGCTTGGGTCTTGCAGTGGGCTCAGCAAAGTGTGTCCATCCTGCAGAAGGAAGGTACAGGGGAGAACAGGGCCCAGAGCTGCTGCAGCCAGCTGGGTGACTGTGTGCTCAGGCACTGTGACTGGCCATCGGGGATTGTGCTGTGGAGGAGATGAGGCCTGATCAGGGCCTCCTGCCCAAGCTCAGCCAGTGCTTCCCCAGCAAGGGGGGCAAACCTGTCCCACGGCACTGCTGGAGGTGAAGCTAGTGGGGTGCCTCTGCCTTCCATTCCCCGCAGAGCAGCGTGGCCTCCTGAGCCTCTAGCCGAGCTGCACAGAGGAGGAGCTCAATAAATGCCTGGTATCCGCAGGAGTTTGGTGCGGGA